CAATCCTTTCCAAGAACAGAGACTAGGAAGAGATTGACTACTAGGAAGGCAGTCATTGCAGCCAGGCAGTACCTTTCAGATGCTGTTGCTTCCAGACAGAGAGCTCACAAAAGGCAGAGAGAGGCTTCACACAGAGCCTTATATGCTGTTTCTCCGTCCCTCCCCCAGAGCACTGGGATTGGAAGAGACCTCAGGGACAGATCGCAGACACTGGCCAGCTACAGATGTCAGTATCAGAGCAGTCCTTCCCTCCCTCTTCCCCCTCCCTCTTTCAAGTTTCTTTTTCCCCACAAGCCTGCCTCTGAAGCATTCCAAAATGTTTCAGATGGTTTTGTTTAGTTTCAGGTTCAGTGTTTCAGGCACCCGAAACACCTCTGAAATGAAATGTCTGCCAAAATTTTGCACAGTCCTACATTTCATGTTTATTGTATGGCAGTATTAAGGGCTTGTTGACGTTACAACCTTCCTTCTGCAGGCAGCTATTCTGGAGTGTGCCTCCACTGTCTTAGCTTCTGGCAGCTCAAGGTGACTGCATTTATAGCAGGTGTGCCATCAGGACACATGGTGCGCCTTGGGAGGCACCAGTTGTTAAAAGGGCTATGGCTGCCTACAGAAAGGACTGGCAGTCTACACCTATTTCTGGCAGTTTCCCTATGACAGCAAAAGCTTTCTGTCATTTGCAGACTGTGCTGTGTTGCTCTGCTGGAAGCATGAAGGGGTTCTACTACTGATGGGAAACTATGGGTGTGATGGCTCTAATTTTTGTGGCGGAACCAGTTCTGCAGGGAACGGTATAAGTAGGCCTAAGGTCATGTAGGTGCCTTAAATATAATTTTATAAGCTTTATTGTAGTTAGATTACTTAAATTTAGGCTTAAATTCAAGACATTTGTTGCTTTTTTTTAAGGGCTTAATTTTGGGGTAGCCACAAAATTTGGGATAATCTGTAAATTATTGGTACACATTCTCAAACTAATGCTAATTTAATCTCTTTTCTCTGAGCTCACGTAATACAGTTAGAAAGTATATACATTATCGTATATTAAGTAGTTTAAACAAAAGGGCAAGCTATGCTCTCTGTTAACCTGGAGGAAGTCTTGTAAAGTTATTTGAGATTTGTATCCTCAGGGAAATCAGTATTTGTTGTATAACTTCTATTAGCTTATTCTATGTGTATCTTCTCCTGCTCTTCTTAAAAGTAAGTTTGTTATAAATTATTAGGAAATGGGTTTTCATAAATTGTATTGCCCTAAGTGAAAGCTAAATACTTTAACCTCTTTACAACCTTTTCTGTTTTTAAAAAGTCCCTGTAATGACCTGATGAAAAGGGAAAAGCTTAGAATGTAACATTGTGTTACTTGATGTAGATGATTTCATTGATCACTTAATTTTTTTCAGATGCAAATTCTTTATTAACGCTAATAAACTTTGCAATTAAAGTAATCTCAGCTGAAAATCTGATCATTAAATAGCAACTGTAACTCTGCCCCTGTTTTGTACATGTGTACTGCAATATGGTACTTCATTACTTCATTCCATTATATGTAGTACTTGACATTGCTGGTCTCATACATCTTATAGGACACTGAACCTAAATCTTTGCAACTGTTCCCTGTTCCTGGAGCTTATTGATGAATACGGGAACAGGAATGAGTTCTGTGCACTGATGATAAATTTCAAAACACAATTTCTTAATTTAAACATTGCAATGAGTAATACAATTATATTTTGAGACGGGTTTCTAACAACTGATTTTTACGTTGATGAGACATCAGATAAAACAGCGCTGAGTATAAGTTCCTTTATTTCATAGCCGGTGTATCCCCATGTTCCAGGTTCAATAAACATCTGCACTTTAAAGGATCTTTTTTTTTCTTATGACTTGGATGTGCTAAAACTACCAGATCTCAGAAACCGTTTTTTGTTCTCTCCTAAATTAAGGATAGAGCATTTTAGCACAGGGAACTTAATTCTGATTAGGATGCTTTCTATGAATTGCCATGTAGTGGAGTGTTACATTTCTAAGAAAAGAAAAATTATCTGTGGAATCTAGGCAATGGTCAAAAACAGCACCATGGAGAGTATTCAGCCCTGCTTTACCTATCATTTACATAGGGTGGACTCTTTGATTGCTTCCCACAGAGCTTGTTTCATCTAATCATGACAATGAATTGGAGTTAGAGCTGTGAATCTTTGGACAGTTTCAGAAAGTAATGTCTTGCATTTGAGATGATTATAAGTTATGTTTAACAAGGGTTTAAACAAATTATAACAGTCTGACTTGCATTGTCTTAATAAACATGTTTCTTCCCCAATAAATTTTATGGAAAAAGCAAAAATCTCACGGCATTTTATCTTTTATATAAGCACTTTTTTAGAGTTGATTTTGAACTGGACTTGAAAAGCACTTTCCAGAATGAAGCCCTTCTTTGTGGTTAATCAGTCACCTAAGAGTGCCCATCATACTTCCATTGAAGTCCATGTTAAAATTCTCCTTTATTGTAATGGGAACAGCAGTTTTTTGACTGAGGACAAGCTGTTTGAGGCTTACCTCAATTACTTCCTGCAGCCTTCAGTCATGCAAAACTTGAGTTTACCTGTGTGCATACACAACAGGACTAGTCCCCAAGGGAGTCTATTATATTCCAAATGCTCCATGGCTGCCATCCTTCCCTGTTGCGTTAAATACAAATCAATGCATACTTTGCATGCAGAAAAAGAACATTACATTTTGGAATTACTACACGTGTACCAAATCACAGCACATGGTTACTTTCATCCCCCATCCTTCCTAAATGTCTAAAAGACCTTAGTATCCAGAATTGGGGTCTGATTTTTTTTCAGAGAGCTCATCTCTCCCTTTTTAAAGCACCGTAATAAGTGGCAGTCAGAGTTGCTGTTTGCTGTGCATGATTTTCTTTTATTGACCCTAATTATGGATGGACATCCTTTTAAACATCTCTCTCAATCTTATTTTAGAGCCTTATTCTGCCATCTTTTTTCATGTGTACCCTTTATTTGCACAAGTAACTTCTGTAAATTCTGCATGCATGATGCACAGTTTACAGAGTTGAGCTCTTGCACTTTAAGCTCCATTATGTTTCTAACTTGCTGTCTTTTGTTTCCAAAGATGCAAACTGTGAGCTCAGCCCTTCTGGGCATTGGCAAGACCTTTTTATAGCATCACAATTGCTTTGGTGTTCCCAGAGCTGGGCTTAGTGCAGCTCTCCAGGCCTATAAACATGACTACCAGCTCCCTCTGCTGAAAGATAAGCTGTCCCTATGCTCTTTCTTTTCTTCATGGAGAGGAAATAGGAAGGTGTAAAAGTGCCTTCCTTTTTGAGGAACAGGAAAAGACTGATATGATAAAGATTCAGTGTGGTGGTAGAGGTTGATATGCCATAGATACAGACGTTAAGAATCATTTTTAGAGGATTACTCATTTGTAGAACAGGAGGATGAAATTAATTCTGACATCTGAATTTTTTTTTAAGTGTCTAGCTTCTATGATTTTATTGTGAGTCTATCTTTTTTAAAGATTTTGCTTCAAGATCTCACTGCACAAATCATAATATTTGTGCAGTGAGAATCCCAGCTTTCGTTATTTTAAAAATATGTTTCTAGGCCTACCTTGTTTCACAGACTAACTTTAAAAATATGAAGCAAGAGCATCCTAAAGGCCCAGGTGAGAAGGCCTAAAAGAACCTAATATGAGATGAAATATCCAGTGCTCAAGACATGAATCGTGCAGTTTAAAAGACCAGGGGTTCAGTTCCTTGCTTTACCACAGACTGCTGTGACCTTGTACAAATGATGCATTGTACCTGGATCTCCGTTCCCCATTTGTAAAAGAGGGAGAGTAGTACTGCTGTGCTACATAAAAAAAAATGTGAGAAACATAGGTGGTATGGTAATTAGAGCTCATAATACCTGAGGTACGTGGCACATGAGGCTGAGCTTCTTCTAGTCAATGGAGTTGGTCCAAATGAGTCCATCATGACAAATGTAGCAGGACAGAGGAAAGTAGTATTTGTACCAGTCCATATATTTTTCAGCTTTTCCACTCTTTCTTCAAACTTTACCCACATGCTGGTGATAATAAATGTATAGGGACAAATTCTTTCCTATATCAGAGCAATTATATGTACTTGCATAATACAGAGGAAGATTTGAATTCCTTAAGGGAGTGGCTGTGGAGGAGGGAATGTAGTAGTTCATGAAGTTGTGTGAAAATTGTCATCTTAATCAAAATAAGACCCCACAAGAAAATAAGAAATCATGGAAAAGAAGATATGTAATACAGGGGTTTTACCTGGCTCCCAGAGCTCCTGGTATGGGGCGGCACGGTGTTGCCTACTGCTAAGTTTCTTGCTACAGAGCCAGCAATAGGGGCAGCAACAGCTGCATTAAGCCATATGCTACTGCCAGGTCCAGATCCAGCCTGCGAGGGTACCTTGTGAGCAAAACCTGGGCCATGAGAAGCCCTGTAGTTTAGATTTGGCCCATAGGTGCAGGTGATCTTGACACCCCCGACGTAATGCATTAAAATGATGTGCACAATATTAGTATCTGACAATGAAGAAGCAAAAGCAGTTGGATGTTACAAGATTATGACAAATATCTTTGGAAAATATTTCTAACTTTTTCATCATACACAAATACTGTAGTAGACATCACAAGTTTTATTGGGTGAACTGTAATTTCTACGTATGTTGGAGCAACACTATGACAAAATACAACATGTTTTTTTATGTAAATAATCTACCCCACTGTCAAAGGACTTGATAGACAGTTCGTTGAGAGTCTTTAGGCTTGAAGCAAAATCCACTGAAAGCAACATTCTTAAAACAGTGGTATTAGAAATGTGCTTATGATTAAGGCCAAAATAGGCAAGATGTTTGTGCAGTGTTTTTTTCAGTTTCACTTTGCAAATAAAGACCACGATGGATTCTAATCCTCAATACTAATTTTTCCTCCTTTATGTTTTTCTGTTTTTACTAGGGCATCTAAAATGGATCTCAAGTGTTCTCTGGAAGAATGTGCAATGGCACTGAACTTATTTCTAAATAATAAATTCTCTGAAGCCCTGGAATTGCTTCGACCATGGTGAGGTCATATGTGTTGTTGTTTCTGTTGTTGTTGCTGAAGATTAAATTACTGTTTTAGAGGCCTTCACGTTCGTTAATTGCATTTATTCTCTTTTGCCCAAAAGGCAGTTTGACCCAGTTGCCCTAAACAGTGCATTCACTTACTCTTTGAATGCATTTATCGCAAGTGTCATCAGTTGATCCATGGGCTGTTTTATTTCAATCTTCTAAAATCAAGATGAAGTCTTGGCAGGTGCAATGAGGAGATAGGCAGAGAGTAGACAGTCTGCAAAAACCCCTAATTTTGACCAAACAGGCTGGAAGGAAGATGTGGGCTGTGCTTGGATCTCTACCTCTACCTAGCTGACTGGCAGGTTGGAGGTTTTTCTCTCATCTGCCTCTATGAGCAGTGGGTAGATTTAGCTTGAAATCTAATGAGATAAATTTTAGGGGTGCACCAATAAAGATTTTTTTGGCTGATACTGATGGCCAGTTATGAACTAGCCATATCAGCCAATACCGATCCAATAGCTGATATGCAGCCTGGCAGTGTGGAGAGCAGCGTCCGGCTGGTAAGTCTGGGGGGGCGGGAATGGGGGAAGGCAAATCAAGGCCTCTGGTGAGAGAACGGGGCTGGGGCAGAGGCTGGCACTGCTCGAGCAGGGTGTGGGACGGAGCTGTGGGCATACCCCTGGGGGAGGCATGGGGGGCATGTGCCCCACTGGATCTGTGCATGGGGCAAGGGTGGGCTGCCTACTGTAGGCTCAGGGCCAGGGGCTGTGCTGGCCTCTTCTCTGGGGTGGGGGGGGGGGCTAGGCCTGGGTTATGCTTAGGGCAGGCAACAGCAGTGTGGGAGGAGTGGCTACAGGGGGTTACAGCAAATTTTGGGGTGACTGTTGTTCACCCTGTAGCCACCTCTCCTAGCACTGTCACCGTCCAGCCTGAGCACAGCCCCAGCCGAGCCCCTCAAATGGGAAGAGGCTGGCCCGCAGCAGGCAGTCTGCCCTTGGTCTGCTCACAAATCCGGAGGGCACATGCCCCCTCATGCCTCCCCTGGGGGTGCTCGCAGAGGTGGGGAGCCTCCCACCGTCTCCACATCCCCCGCCCTGCTCCTGCCTCAGCTGGGCAGCCCCTGCCCTAGCTCCACTCCCTCCCTCACCATAGGATCATGATCTTCCTTACCTCCCCCATGCCCCTTTCTCCCCCACAGACTTACTGGCCGGCTGCTGCTCTCCACACTGCCACGCTTCATTCCTGGCTGTATGCATTCTGTGGCTACATACATGCACACAGCATTTATTGGTAATGTTATCGGCTACATTGGCCAAAAATATCTGATTGCTGATATGTCAATTTTCCTTTTATCCTTGCTGATTTGAGATGTACCGATATGTTGGTGCACCTCTAATAAATTTATCTTCCCTCAAGATTCTTCCTGCCCTTTTCTGGTACCTTTTGTCCACAAAGGAAATGGGCATGAAATCAGAATAATAAAGGCATGATTAATGGAAACATCTTGGTTTCTTATTATCTTCACTAAACATCTTTTTATTTCTGTATTATGATACTTTCTCCATACCAATCCCTTTTTAGTGACAGGAGAGAACAGTTTCTTTTGAATAGAAAGGAATGTTGGAAAGATTGGTGGATTTTTATTTTCCCTAATCATGGTTAGGTATTCTAACTGTTTTTACACGTACGTTTTGGAGGCACACCAGCTCTGATTATAGTTCAGGTTTATGTCCCCTCTGCCTAAGGAATATTCTAAGTGTTCTAGAAATGCTTTGTTTACTCAAATTGTTTTGAAAATTGCTGGACCTTATAGGAGCAATATGACCTGATTTTACTTTGGGGATATTGCAGAATCATGGAAAATTAGGGTTGGATGGGACCTCAGGAGGTCATTAATCCAACCCCTTCCTCAAAGGAGGACCATCCCCAACTATATCGTCTCAGCCATGGCTTTGTATATCTGGCTTTTAAAAACCTTCAAGGATGGAGATTTCACAGCCTTTCTGGGTAATCTGTTCCAGTGCTTTACTAGCTTCCTAGTGAGAGAGTTTTTCCTAATATCCAACCTAAACTTCCCTTGCTGCAACTTGAGACTGTTGCTCCTTGTGCTGCCACCACTGACAACAGTCCAGTTCCACCCTCTTTTGAACCCCGCTTCAGGTAGCTGAAGGCTACTATTAATTCCCCCCTCAGTCTCTCTTCTCCAGACTAAATAAGCCTCGTTCCCTCAGCCTCTCCTCAGAAGTCAAGTGCCCCAGCCCTGTAACCATTTTCATTGCCCTCTGCTGCCGGACTCTCTCTCCAGTTTGCCCACATCCTTTTTGTAGTGGGGGGCCTAAAACTGGACACAGTACTCCACATGTGGCGTCACCAGTGCTGAATATAGGGCAATAATCACTTCCTGTGATCTGCTAGCAACTCTCCAACTAATGCTACCCAGTATACCGTTAGCCTTCTTTGCAACAAGGGCGTACTATTGACTCATATTCAACTTATTGTCCACTGTAACCCATAAGTCCTTTTCTGTAGAGCTGCTGCCTAGCTAGTCATTCCCCAGCATGTACCAGTGCATGAAATTGTTCTGTCCCAAGTGCAGGACTTTGCACTTGTCCTTATTGAACCTCATGAGACTTCTTTGGTTCAATCCTCCATTTGTTGTGATCTCTCTGAATCCTTACTCTACCCTCCAGTGTATCTACTACTCCCCACAGCTTAGTGTCATCTGCAGACTTGCTGAGGGTGTAATCCATCCCATTGTCCAGCTTGTTGATGAAGATATTGGACAAAATGGCCCCAGGACCAATCCCTGGGGCACTCCACTTGTTATGGTCTGCAGCTAGACATCACACCATTAATTACTACCTTTTGAGACCAATGACTCATCCAGTTTTCTATCCACCTTATAGTGCATTCATCCAACCCATCCTTCCCTAGTGTGCTTGACAGTGTTGTGTGAGATCTTATCAAAAGATTTGCTAAGATCAGGTTGGTCAGGCAAGATATGTCCTTGGTGAATCCACGGTGACTGTTTCTAGTGACCTTCTCCTCCAAGTGCTTTGAAATGGATTCCTTGAGGACCTGCTCCATGATTTTTCCAGGGACTGGAGTGAGGCTGCTCAGTCTGTAGCTTCCTGGATCCTCCTTCTTCCCTTTATTAAAGATGGGCACTGTGTCTGCTCTTTTGCAATCATCTAGGACCTCTCCCAGTCCGTGCGAGTTTTCAGAGATAATGCCCAGCTGCTCTGCTATTACATCAGCCAGCACTCTTGGATGTATCACCTTTGGCTCCGCTCCATACGCTTGTACATGTCCAGCTTTTTTAAATAGTCCCTATCCTGTTCTTTCGCCACTGTTGGCTGCTCATCTCCTTCCCAGACTGTGCTGCCACGTGCCATATTCTGGGAGCTGACATTGCCTGTGAGGACTGAGGTAAAAAAAGGCATCAAGTACTTCAGCTTTTTCCATATCTTCTGTCATTAGGTTGCCTGGTAAGGGATCCACACATTCCCTGATCTTCCTCTTGTTACTGGTGTAGTTATAGAAACCCTTCTTGTTATTCTTTTTGCCCTGCTAATTCCTCAAGCTAATCTAAAATGCTACCTTGCCCTGCCTTCTGCCTAATTTAAGAGACTGTAGGTATTTCCTGAAATATAAGAAACAACACTTAGAGGCTGTAATGGTAGGTGAGAATGATGGCTTGTCCTTCCATACAAGTACCATCCAGGGAGCCTGCCTCTGGCAGTGGTTGTCTTGCCCCATGTATGTGTCAGCATCTGTATATGCTATCCTTCCTCATGCAATGATGGGGAGCAGGCTGGAGCTGGGCTGGGGTGGGGGTCTTAAAAGGAGCCAGCATGGAGGAATGCAGATTAGGCAGGCCATAGGCCTGGAGGAATCAGGCCAAACAGAAAAAGCAAAGCCCAGCTTTGTTTACATCTAGGCCTTTATGACCAAGGGAGTTGGTAAGCTGATGGCTGTGATGTATGTAGCAGCATAGGGCACAGGACACCAAAGAACAGGTTTTTTTATATGGTAATAATTTGTAAAGTGACAATGGCTTGTAGGAAAAGGAAGGGGAAGACTAGCTGGAAGTCTGTGGGATGAGTTGTATGTTATAAGTGATCACAGGTGACAGCTTCTTCTTGCAGGCTTGAAGTTACTGTAAACAAATGGAATACAGGCAGTCCTCAACTTACAATGTTTCGAGTTGCAACATTTTGCACTTACAACGTTTATAAATTGACACCCTGTTTAAACTTTCTGATGTCAGTTTTGACTTTACAACGCTTGATCTGATGCAACGTCACACCAGTGAACAAGTTTGCTGCATCACTCATCTCCCTGGAGAACATGTGTCCAAACTTCCTTGGACGCTTTCTTTAAGAAAGCAGACAAGAATCCAGTAAAACCTGCAGCTAAGACTCCTGAGAAGACTCCAGCCAAGAACCCTTAAAAAAAAGTCCAAATGAGTCCTTCAAAAAGTCCAGCAAAGTCACCTCAAAGAAGTCCTTCCAAATCAGTATGACTGCTATTTACAATATAAATACATTAGTCTAGCTATATTACTCATCTATAATTGATTGAGTACAAAATTCTGGGGTATTTCTGGTGAAAATGGAATATCGGGCCTTGGTTCAGGAACCAATCCCCCATGTATAACATTGTTTCTTATGAGAAAATTGGTTCCAAGGTACAACGTTTTGACTTAAGACGTGGTTTTCAGGAACCAATTGTGTTGTAAGTCTGAGGACTGCCTGTACAACTGTCAAGGGGTAGAAGTTGCTTGAGACCCCTCTCTGTGCTCTCAGAAGTTGCATCCTCCAAACATTTCACATCAAAGTCATTATCACCATTGTGCTGCAACCCACTGCACAGGAGGTGGGGGATTCTTCAAGAAGCTGCAGTGTTCACCCGCTTGGTTCTGGAACCACACTGATGCAGTGGCTCTGGCAGCTTCACTGACAAACTGCTGCCTTGCTGCTGAAGATGGCTTGTCTGACCTGCGAGAAGCCCCATGGGCCAGAACCAGCTCAGGGGGCCAGACTTCCCTTACCTAAGGCTGCATACAGACTTGCATTTCTATTGGTAAGAATTTCTCAGAAGTTCTTGGTAGAAAATTAGGCCAGGAGCTGGAATATACATATGTTCCAGCCCTGTGGCTGGAGAGCTACCCAGATGGGTCCCCCTGGCTGGAGAACTTAAGAGGGCTACTTCCTGGGCCACCCCCACTCTTGGGACCCAGGGGCATGCTGTCAATACCTTGTCATGTATCCACAGATGCATTTCAAGCAGGTCAAAAGAGGTGATCCTCCCCCTTTATGCGGCACTGGTCAGGCCGCAGTTGGAGTACTGTGTCCAGTTCTGGGCGCCGCACTTCAAGAGGGATGGGGACAGCATGGAGAGGGTCCAGAGGAGGGCCACT